ATATTTATATGGTTTGCAGTTATTTTTTACATCTTTAAGTATAATAGCACATTTAAAAAATATTCTATCAGATATGAGCAATATGAAATTGAAGGCAAAATTTTACACCAACATCTATATCTTACAAGATTTGACTCGAAACTAACTAGTAACAAAAAAGTTACATCGTTAGTTTGCAAAAAAGTGAATGTTTTTTGGAAAAGGAAGGAAATCCAAAAAAACTGAAAAAAATACTGTTAAAATGATACTGCATCTGATATATCTTAGATAGTACTTGATTTAAAATGAAGAAAAAAAAAATCATTATGTAGCCTCAACTTTTGAGTTTTACTAATAAAATATGAGGTAGTGCTGTTGTGGAAGGTTAGTTCCAAGTTCAATTCCCATGTCCCTGGTAGTACCATGCTCAACTTACTTCTCCGCGAGCAGGGAAATAAGTTTGCCATGGTTCCAATATTATTTCTGTTTCATAATGCAGCATCAAATGCAGAAGATTTGATAACGAAAAGACATATCCTGTGTCATCAATCTCATAAGATTTTTCTCAGATCAGCATTAATTAAAAACATTTTTTTGGGGTCCATTTGACAAGAGTTATACTATGGAAGTAAAATGAAAGAGCAAAAAGCTATTGAAAATGAGAAATTAAAAAATGTAAATAAAAGAAAGTTCTAAAAAAATATGAGCGTTTGATGATGAAGACAAAATTTCCAATAAAAAAGAAGAAAGTGTTATTACTAGATTATATTATCTTATTACTAGATTTTATTATCTTGTTACTAGAAAATATTAAGATATTAGAATACCTTAAGTTTCTTCATAGGTTGATAGGTTTAAGTTATCTAACAGAGAAAGATCTGGGATAATTTAGCTGTAGCTAAAGTTATGTCACAATTTGGATTAAATATATCATAAAAAGCATAGTAAACGGAAAAGGTAACAAAATTTGATAGCAAGTTTTAGATGACATTTAAAAAACATTCAGTTTATCCAGGTACTGTTCCATTCACTGGGATTCAAAGCTGGTATCTGATGTAGATGTTATTGATGTTGTTTGATTTTAGAAAGACTAGCAAAATTAAATTCTTAAAATCAACCTATGTTTAAAATTCAATACAGTAGTATAATAAAATTGTAAGTAAACAAATAATTACTATAAAAAACAAATTTTCTGTTTAACATTGGTGTCTAAATTGTTATAGTCTAATAGTTTTTACATAATTTTTAATTTAAAAAAATTTATCACTTCCACCAACAAGTATGGCAATCTAAGTATCATTTAGTAAACAATCCTGACACCACAATCGAAGACGAAATAGATTTGGCTTTGAATACAGGCCCAGATATAGACATGAGCAGTTTCTGCCATGACACAGGGGTCTCCACTCACTAAAGATAAAAAAGTTTAATTGTTTTTTATATTAATGAATTGATTATAGACACTAGATTTTATTCGAACAAAAAACTTTTTTGTGTAAAATAAACTTTGCAAGGATATTTCAGAAAAAAAAAAGTTTTTCATAAATACTTTTCAATTATTCTGAAAGAAAATTCCAGACCTGGATTAAAAAATGACAAAGCATAAAAAAAAAAAAAATTTTCCCATTGTTTAGAACTCACAAATCAAAAACATGATGCAGAATAATCTATGACTTAAAGTTAAAGCCAATAATTTAATCTGGCAATGTTGTTGTATTGCTGAAATTCAACATACAGAACCTGTTGTCTATAAAATAAAAACTTAAAAGTTTGTATTAATTGTTAACATTATGATAAAATATATGTAACAATGTTACATATAGTTTATCATAATATTAACAATTATCATATTTAGCAATTAATCATATTGTTAGAAATTAATACAAAACTAAAATTTTTAAAAAAAACTTATAACATGTTGCTAACATGTAATAAGTTTTTTTAATTAAAAAAAAAAAACATCAAAAAATACAAATTCAAAAAAAAGTTTAAAAAAAAAGGCTTTTTTTGACAACTCTAATTGGAATCAATAAATTTATTGGATGGAGTCAATACTGTTAACTTTTGATATAGTTAACAGTCATTTACTTTGCCTAAAACTTTTTTTATCTGCATTAGTCAACAATCAATAAAATTTTAAAATGTTTTAAATTGACATTATTATAAGTTTGTTAAACTGTTTTACTTAAGTCTGCATGTTTTCTTTTTTAAATTACCTGTAAAACAGGCTGCATGTAATTAAAACAAAGTTTATCTTCTAGAGAAATCCAATTCAACAAAGATAGGTAACCAAGGTGGGTTGAAGCATGATTTTACCAATGCTATAAATTCTTATGACATATTTAAAACTTTTTTCTTTTTATTAAAATATTTTTTTTGTTTCAAAAAACATTAGTTTTTAAAATCAAAAAAAGCATTTGTTTGTTTTAATTATAAGTAAATACCGTACATGCATGTAAACAAAAAATTTTTGGAAGGGCGTTTATATTTTCGCTTTCTATCACATGGAGGGAAAGTAAACGACGGGTACATTTTCATTGTAGATAAACATCATTTATCAACTTAAGGGCGAAACGAAACGTGCGCCCTTCGTAGCTATTGTCGTGCGCACGTAGCTTTTGTCGCGCGCACGACAATAGCTAAGTAATGTGTTATTTTAAATCACCCGGTGGGAAATGAGCTAGCGACTAGCTAGCGACTAGCTAGCTCTATAGCGACTTTCTAGCGATTTTTTTTTTCTTATTTTATTTTTTGCAAATGTCTTTAACATCTTTAAAAATTCAATTTTTAGTGTTGAGTCTATTATAACTATGAAAATAATTGAACTTTAAACATTGCGATTTTGTAGCAATGTGTCGCTAGCTACATATCGTAGCTTTGTAGCTAGCTACAAAATATCTACAAATCTATACCTGGTTGATAGCTACATATCAAAAATTTTTAGACAACGGTTTTATTACGATATGACGCTAAATACAATAGCTAGTAGATCTTCAGCTTGTTAAGCTAGCTGTCCTCTTTGCCAAATCGCTGTCTTTATCTTTACAAAAATCGATAGCTTTTCGCTAAATTAAAAAAGCTAGCAATCCTCGTGGCCAAATCGCTGTCTTTATCGTAACGATTATAGCTAGCTAATGGCTAGCCGACTTCCCACCGGGCAGTTGCCTTATAAAAGTTTATTTATAAAATTTCTAGAAAGTTTCGGTTGTTATGACGATTTTCTTTTCCCGTTTTCCTTTTCCCCTCAACAGTTTGAGTTACGTACTTTTTTCGGTTAAGTTGCTTATCAAAATGTCTATCAAAAACCACGTATCAAACCATCATAAAATAATGTTTTAGTACACAGTCAAAGTTTTAGTACACAGTAAAATAATGTTCTACACCTTTTCAAGATGTAATTGAAAAAAACAAAAATTGTAATTAAGAATCGTAAGATGTAATTGAGAAAACAAAAGTTGTAATTAAGAAACGTAAGATGTAATTGAGAAAACGTAAGTTGTAATTAAGAAACATAAGATGTAATTTAGAAAACGAAAATTGTAATTAAGAATCGTAACATGTAATTGAGAAAATGTAAGTAAGTTGTAATTAAGAAATAGAAAGATGTAATTGAGAACACGAAAATTTTAATTTAGATATCGCTTTAAAGGAGTAAGTGTAAAATGGCGCTTAAAAAAAATGGCGCGTAAAAAAATGGAGCGTATAAAATGACGCACTTAAAAATGACGCAAGATTTGTAGCGTAAATTATAATTTTTGGGCAAATGAATTTAACATAATAAACACTAAAAACATTTTAGGGAAAAATTTATAATTCAATTAAAAATTATAATTAAAAATTATATAATTAAAAATCACTTCATTGATCATTTAAGCACCAACTTGTACGTCTTCCATATTTAAAATAGTTGCATAGTGCGTGGTTGTGTGTTGTACCGCACGTGCACAATCTCCTCCCATTATAGTATTTTTCGCCTCAATTACAATTCGTTCTAAGTACTGCATGCGCTGTTCCGCAATCCCGTCACCTAATACAGGTGGAATGCGAATTGCATTTTTAACGTTACTTTTAATTTTGGACCAGATCGTTTCAACCGGGTTCAACATTGGACTGTAAGGTCCCAATCGTAACAACTGAGCTGGTGAATTATCAAACACCCTTTGCAAACGAGCGTGACAAGGAGCATTATCTGTTACGACGACCAAATCCTCCAAACGATTCCCGGATGTAACCCACTGGTGAAACATAGCCAACATCCACTCGTTACAGGAATCTGCTTTAAATGATCCCCTGCGAGTTTCTATCATGACGACATTTGTAGTTGAAATAGCTGCGATCAAGTGTATGTTTAAACCTTTTGAAGCAGGTACTTTCATAATTGCTCTTTTTCCTTGTCTCGCGCGTCCTTGCGTTTTTCTACGAAAAAGGTTAAAATTTGTTTCATCCAACCAAACTCTCTGACGACCATTTGTGATATGTTCGTTGATGTTTCTAACATATTCAGCTCTTTTTTGTTTGTTTTCATAACTGTTCATTGTAGAAGGCTCCTTGTGCACTTTTTTTAATGAGAACAATCTGCCTTCGAGGTAATTTGCTATTGTTGTTGTGCTAACGTTTATGTTAAATTGTCTTAATATCTTTGTTTTGATGGCCACCAATGTTAATTGACAATCATTTTCAATCCATGTTAATGTTTCTTCGATTTGATCTTCGGTCAACTTTTTCGGTTTAAAACCTCCTTTTCCGATGAAATTTGAATTTCCGCTGCGAACCCAATTGTATGCTGTCTTATATTTGATACCTAGCGTTTGCACGAGATTCACCCAATCTTCAAATCGCTCCGCACATTCAACAACTCTTCTCCTGTCATTTGGAGAAGATAAAACGTAACGTTTCCTTTCAACTTGTTCAGTTGTGTGTATTTCATGCCGACAAAACTTGGACAATCTGGTTGTTCCAGAACTGGACGTAAACAAATTTGGTGACATAAATGTTGACACGGATTTAGTTTAATCACAGACTTTCGGGTCATAGTGTATTGGCATATAACACAACGATCTTTCAATTCCATTATTATTACTTGTGCATACAAAAGCAAAGTTTAAGATTATAACTTAAATTCATGTCCAAAAAGACCTTTTGTAACAACCTACAAACTTAGACTGTGAATTTGCTATTTTAATTTATGTGTTCTCAATTACAAGTTACGATTTCTCAATTACATATTATGATTTCTCAATTATATCTTACGTTTTCTCAATTACATGTTGTGTTTCTTAATTACATGTTACGACTTCTTATTTACATGTTGTGTTTCTCAATTACATATAACGTTTTCTCAATTACATGTTGTGTTTCTTAATTACATATTACGACTTCTTAATTACAACTTTCATGTTCTCATTTACATCTTGAAAAGGTGTAGTGTTGTGGCCTCACTTATGATAAAAATAATCTAATATACAAAGTAAAGGTAATTTAACCCTAGGGAATATTCATTTGATATGCTTTTTATACTTTATTTATGATATGAAATGAATTATAATAGTAAGATAAAAAATATATATATTTTCGGAAAAAGTTATAAACGTTTAGTTAATAAATAGTAACGAACAACTGCAAAAGCACTAACAGCTATAAATTACGGCGAAGAAAAAACAAAAAGACAAAAAAAAACCATTAGAAAAATATACCTAAGAAGAAACAAAGTTCTAATTCAGAGAAAATCTTTAGTGGATAATTTTTATAAAGCTAAAAAACCCGTTTCTTTTATTTAGTAATCGTATTAAATTTATGCATTTTTTTCTTAAAGTAATTCAATAAATTTAAAATCAAAATATACAACTTTTTCATTTATGGTAGGTAAAGAACCAATTTGTAGGTGGTGCCATATCACGGTAGGTGAAGAAACGTACTAGATCTAACAAAAAATTAAAAATTACATTAAAAAAATAATTTTACTCAAATTTAAATGATATAAATTAGTTTAAAATTGAGTATAAATTATTTATCTGAAAACCCTAAATTTAAATCTGTTACGGTTTTGGAGTTTATAAAGCTTTGAAAGAAAAAGTTTTCTTAAACTCACGGAAGGGGTAGACACACGACCCTATTACGATTTTAGAATCGAAAACTTCATATGCAGTATGCAAAACAAACGGTTCTACGTAAAATATATGTTTTCTGTTATTAGTCCGGTAGAATTTTGATACAACCAGGAATAAAATACTATAAAGCTATTGAGTATTAGGAGCACCAATAAGTGAACTGGCCCTAATTAAAAAAGGATAATAATTTTTACGATTGTAAAAAATACAGAAAGTAATAAGATTCTTTAAGTATTTTTTGTTTTCTATTATTTACTTTTGATAACAAAAACATTTTATTATCTTTTATCAATCTAAAATAATAAAATAAAATCTAAAACTTATTTAAAACAATATTGTTTACTTACTAATCAAATAATATTTCAAATACGTTTCTAATGTCATCGTCAAAATATTTAAAACCGTTGATTTGAATTTTCAAAGTTTTGTCTTACCTATAAAATAATACGATATAATTAAATATTTTACCATCGTTCTATTTATACTAAAAATTGGTAACAAAATGCACGAAACCTAAGGTTTAAGTAATATTAAAATCACTTCTTTGTCGCGACAATTTTCTTCTTGAGAACCACCACACAAGTTGAAACGCATTCAAAATCATGTTTATGACAGTTAAAAATATTCAAACTACGTTGATTTTTTGAAAACATGTTGCATCTTATACAATTGCATTTTATAATACATAGATTGTTTTTAGGTGCCACATCGTTATTGAGATAAAAACATTGTTTTTTTTTTCCATCTCCAATTCTTTAGGATTAAAATTCAAAAGCTCATTAAGTAACTTCCTTTTAATAACTTGAAAATGGAAGTGTGACCTTGTAAATAACTTGAAGATGGAAGTGTGACCTTGTAAATAACTTGAAGATGGAAGTGTGACCTTTTTTGCCGCTTTTTCAGTTGGTGATTACTTATGAGGTTTAATGGTTCATTTGCATTTCAAAATACTTCAGATATCTTTAATAGATGGATTAGTTTGCAGTTATTTTTTGTAATTTTAACTACCAGAATAGAGTTAATTAAACAGTTAGAGGGACAACGGGACTCGTTGCAACAAAAAGTTTAAACTAAGTACCTGGTACTCTATGTTTGTCCACGTCATCGAGTTAAGCTACCTCTACTTTTTACGGAATATAGAAAATAGAATTTTATTAATTAATAGAACAAACATTAATTAATGTTTATTCTATTACCATATCAGATCCAAACCCCGCAGTAACTAAACCAAGAACTTTTGAGATACCAGTGTTTGAACATAAAATTTGCCACTTTTAGCATAATTTAATTATAAATAAATTTTAGACCAATTTGATTTTTTCTCTGCAATGATGAATTTTTTTGCAATTGTAATATATTGAGGTTAGAGTTCTGCAGCTTTAGATTATGATTTCAGACATTGGATAAACTTGTCTACTATTGACACGGTGATAAAATGTTCTGTTTGTACAAACTTCTTAAACTCGTCTTCAGTTAAAGTATTTTTCATTGTTTTTCATTGCAAAAAAGGGTTGAAACGATGAAAGATTAATCCCTTGGTCATTAACAAGAACAAGAACAGCAGTATAATTTTAAGGGTACTTTCTGCTGAACGTGCGCTCAAAGCAACCTTGCAATAGCTTTTCTGGACATCAAATGCATAACACTATTTACTGCGTATATTTCATTAAACAACTCGTCCAAACCAGATCCTCCTTTAAGTTTACCAATGCTTCCAATGTAACATTTGATTAACCGTTATGAATAAAAGCGATTGCAATCATTAGAAAAGAAAACTTAAATATAGTGTACAGATTGGATAGTTATACCATAATGAGTTTATGTAACTGTTATCATATCATAAGGATATTGAAATACCATAATGGTGGATATCATACCATAATGAGTTTATATAATTCATTACGGTATGACATCCACCCAATCTACATACTATATTTAAATATTCTTCTCATATGGTTGCTGTCGTTTTTATCTATAACGGTTAGTCAAACCTTACGCAAGATATTGATACGTTTAATGTTTTAATTTCAAAATTCTAAGGGTGACTAAGTGTAAGTTTCATCATAAGGATGAAGATCAGTTATTGGAAGGAATAAAACTAATGTTTTTTGCGGACAAATTATTTTGGTATAGTACTTTTTATAACTACTGCTATTATTCCTACTTGTATTATGATTATAATTATCCCAATTTTAATTATTATTGAATTTGAAAGGTATTTACTTTATATTTGTACTTGTTATTATTTGTAAATATGATTGATGTAAGAACTTAATCAGAATTTATTTGATTTGATTTGGCTCGCGGCGACAGGATCTTATGTTCTTGTTCGGGTTTCCGTGTTGTTATACTTAAATGTACAACGGCATTTAAAGATGGCGTCTACTTTTAATTATTGCATACGAAGAGTGCCTAAGTTATTAAAAAAAAGTGTGTTATTGAAAGGAAGAAGGTAAGCTTAAAAATGTTCAAATATATATATATATATATATATATATATATATATATATATATATATATATATATATATATATATATATATATATATATATATATATATATATATATATATATATATATATATATATATATATATGTATATGTATATATATATATATATATATATATATATATATATATATAAATATATATATATATGTATATATATATATATATATATATATATATATATATACATATACATATATATATATATATATATATATATATATATATATATATATATATATATATATATATATATATATATATATATATATATATATATTTGCAGCGTAGTTCTTTTTTTTTTCTTTTTTCTTTTTGAAAAAAGTTATTTTGCATTTAATCAGTTACTTCTCTAATTAGTAACATAATCATTAAAACTAAAATCGGAATATTACCTTTTTTAGCATTCACTTTTTAAATTTAAATGTTACATTATGAAGTTACTTTATTTAATTACTGTACAAAAGTAACTGAATTTTAAGTAAAAAAAAATTAGAAGAAAGAAGCATAAATGATAACTTTATTTTAAAAACAAGTTTAAACAGACTCTTTATCTGAACAAACTAAATCACTCTTATTATGAATTATTACATTAGCCAAAATGTTTTTGTTTTTTTCAACGAGATCAGTCTTTATATAAAGTTGCCCTAACTGTGTAATCATTGAAGAAGAAAGCAGGCTTCTTTTTTTTGGTTAAGATGAAATCATAGATACTCCAGATTCTTTGCTGCTGTCTTTAAATATAGATAAAAGTGTTGTTTATCCCACTGAAAGCCACAGTAGTTTCTAAAATTTTCACGATATATTCAGCAGTCTTCTGGCTTGAATTTTTCATTTCCAAAGTAAATTTTTCAAATTTCTTATGGATATCTTTTTTTCTATTATTTAACTTTTTATTGAAATAAATTTTTTTAAAAGAATAACATTACCATATGAATCATCATCAATAAAACCTTCCCCAGTCAAAAAATTATGCAAAACCCATAACCTTAAAGTAAAGGAAAGCCTGTCTATCTTTAATTAGTGTTATAATATTTTCCTTATCACAGCCAATAAGTAAACTTTTTAAAATGTAATAAATATTAGAGAGACAATAGCAGTTGCTCTCTAGCAATCCTGAGACTAGTCCAACCTTTACCCAAGTGATTGTTGGTCTATTCATTCATGTAATGTGGTGTGTAAATTATTTTTTCATCTAATGTGGTTTGTAAAGTTTTTTTTGCTGGAAGTAAGTTATAAACTGGTTGTAATTGTTGAACAAATTGTCTCATACTATTACTATCTGCTAACTTATCTGCTTACATAAGTAATATAAAAAACAGTAAATAAAAAATCATTTCCAAATACCTCATCAAAGGTGACATTTTCAAACTTATCAACTTAATCTATCTAATTTTCGGATCTTAAACAGGTGGAAAGAGATTAGTAGAAGGACAAAAAACAAAACAAAACAAAAAACAGCCCAAAGACCATCACAAAATAAAACATAAAAATAATCCTATTCAGTCTTAAGGTAGGAGTATATTCTTAAGTACTTTGTTTATGTTTTGAATAATTAGAGAACTTGAATCAATAATAGATAGTGTATAACACCCTTAGCAAAAAGCTATGCGAATGCCTCATTTCTACTAATCTACCTAAAGTTTTAGCAAAGGGCTTTTTATAGACCTTTGACAATGCATGCTAAAAGCATTTCAGGAACTATGTTCTCTGGGCAACATATACTCTGATATTTTATAAATAAATGCCTCCATTTTTTCAATTTTTTTTTTTAGCAGATATTAAAAATACTGATAAAAAAGTAGGAAACAACTGCACTTGATCTGCTCTAAATAATTTGTTCAAGTAATCTTGTTATAGATTTTTTGCGTGTGCTACTGCAACAAATTATAGGGGAAGATGGGAAATATTTGACCATGGGGAACATTCGATTTTTTCAAATATTTCCCAGAATGATTAAAATTATCACCTTAAATTTTTATGCATATTTTGTCTGTAAATAAGCTATTGCTGGAAATAAGTGATCCATCTTTATTAGTATTAGTACTTATTTAGAAGAAAATCTAATTATTGCTATAAAAAGCAATTTTTTTATGTTTTAAATAATCCGCAAAGAATCTCTTTTCCAACTTCAACCTTCTAAATTTTTTATTGTTTAATTATATCTTGAGTTTAAAACCTTTGTATTTGGTTTACTTCAAAAAAATGATTTCGGCTTTTAACAGCGTTTGTTTATATATAACACATGTGGGGTATATTCAACTTACCTAGCTGGAGAACATTTGACTGGTGCTTGAAAATACCGCGATAATTTGTTTCTCTTATCTTTTAGATAAAATATATAGAAAAAACAGATAGAAATAAAAGAATTAAAAATGTGGTAAAACAAAAATTTATTAGTATTTTCAATAATTCACTGTCTGAACCACAAGCCGCAAAAAGATTTCATGCCCAGATATGTCACAAATAGAACCCTAATGGGAAAACCAAGTGAAAGTCTAGGGCTTATAGGTACACCATTACAAAAAAATTTACCACTCTTATCTAATAAAAGGCATTCCTCTTGCAATTACTAGAATAACTCTAACAATTAAAAACTGATTTTAGAACATGTGCGGTTCTTGCCTAAAGACAAATTTGTTTATGCTTCAATGCTTCAAACTGAATTTGTAATTTAAAAAATATCAATGTGGAATTATGTTTGATAAATTTCAGGTCACTTACTATGGTTAATATTTTAAAAAAAATATTAACTATAGTAAGTGACCCGGCAAAATTATAAGATTTAGCAGGGTTGGATAGCCAGGGCTAGAAAAAAATTTATAATCATTTTTGTATTATAGTTTTATATGTTTATTTACTATTTAATATATACTGGAATATATTTATATATTTTTAAACTCATATTTACTTCCAACAAGATTGCAGACAACCGCTATTAAGTTATGAGTTACTTTAAAATAGATGATAGGTTAAAGTACTAGAAAATGGTTAATTGAAGACTTAAAAAGTTGCAGGATGTATTAAAAAGGAAAACATAGATGGGGAAGAGTTATAAGGTTTTTTTGATGTGCAAATAAACTTGATTAATAAAAGTTTTTATAACATGAAGAAACAGATGCAGTAAAATGATGCAATTTGTTGATTAAGAAACCAAGTAAGAATGAGTTTTGGTTTATCGTAATAGTGATGATAGCTTATTTGAGCATTGACTATATTATTATTTGTAGAAAAAAGAAAGAAATGCAACCTAACAACAATGGGAGAGTGGCTCATGCTTGGCAGATAAAGTAGGTCTAACTAGATTTACAATCTGCTTTTAGACTTTGTCTGAGAGTAAGAGGGTTGTTAATTCTCATTATAAGAATGCCAATAATATTGCAATATTTTTTTAGCAGAAAATGAGTTTTGTTTTCTAACGTTGTGGATTATAAGTCCAGAATTTAAATCCACAATCCACTGCAAGCCTCAGGCTGTTACAAAAATGTTATCAAAAAGTAGAGATTTTTTGTCAAAACAAGAGTAGTTGAGTCATCAGCAAATAAAGCTACTTTAGATGTAAAATTATCATAAAGATTATTATTGTAGATAAGAAATATTACAGAAGCAAGGATAGAGTTTTGTTGTGCCCTTAAAGTTACTTGAAATAAAAAGAAGTGTAGGCCTTCAAGAATAATTTTAATACTGCAGTTAGAAATAAATAATTTAATAATCTCAAAAACTTTATATAAAGAAACTAATAACAGAAGTGTTTTCTAGATTTTTGAAAAATCAGAACCACTTATTTAGCACTTTTGAAAAGTTTAGAAAAAATTGAAGAGAGTGCTTGAGAACACTTTTAAAGATTATTATGGAAATCTTGTCTGGAGCACAAACTGTAGAAATGTTCAATTGAGAATTAACTTTAGCATTTGAGGCCATAGTGATTTTGATGTTTAATTTTGATGTTAATCTGTTTAACTGGCAGGAAGAGTATGTCCATTAGAATCAAAAGTCAAATTGGAGTAAGATTTCTTTGAAAAAACTCTGCCTTATTCTGGGGAGAAGTAAAAAGACCAGACCCATGAATTAGATATTAAATGTTAGGTTTACTTTAGTTTATAATACTGTTGAAGACTTGCCAAAAGTAGATCCTAACATCTGAGATAAGATACAAGATTTAGTAAACTGAGATAAATAGAGCTAGCATCAGACAGGATTTTTTTGCATTAGCTTCTTGTAATAATGAAAGGACATTTATTTATAAGAGAGATGTGATTGTGAAAAAGATGAAAAAAATGATTTACTCAAGATGGTGAAAAGATGTGGAGTATAATGAGGTTTGACTTAAAATGGAAGAGAAGGAGTAGAAGCTTCCGAGCTTGTATTCTAGAAGGAATAAAAGCGTCCGAGATGCGCTTTAAACATACATTATGGATGTAAACATATATGTTTTCTATTTATTTAGATGCTGGCATACAGTATCCTTTCATATTTGTATAAACTTTAGTATTTACAGTATTTACCAAAAAAGAGGATGATCAGATGGATGGGTGGTGTGACTCTAACATAACAAGAAAAGGAGGTATAATCTTAGGCAGATTAGAAAAAAAGTGTTGTATCGAACTAACGTTTATCAGAGATAAAAGTGATTTAGGTATCAAAATGTAGAGGTAGCAGCCACAGGAGAAAATTGTATTGGTAGAAGTAAAAAAACTTAATGAGAGTGCCTTATATATTGTATGAATGAGGTTTAGTTAAGGAAAGAAAATGCTCTAGATTCTTTATAATAGAGAAACAGTATAAAAAAGGAAAGCTAAAGCCTGGACATGATGATGATCATGATGATGATCGTGATGATGATCATGATGATGATCATGATCATAATGATGATAATGGTGATTATAATGATTATGTTGATCATCTTTTTTTTAGCTTTTTCAATATTAATCCTTATTTCTCTATTGTATTTCCTTTTTTCAAATGTAAGTTTTTAACAAAAATATAAAATGTTAGAAATATGATGTTAAAGTTTCACAACAAAATAATTATACATTTAGATGCTTAACTCAACTGGATCCAAATATTTCAAAAAAACTTTTAGAAAGACCAAAGTTACCTGGAATTTTAGCTGAGTACACTGGACATGTAATGTATCCAGATGAAGATACAGCAAAGTGGGATGAAGAAGGTATTTAACATTTAGGTCATTTTTTTGTAAAATTTTACAAAACACTTTTTATTTAACACTTTTATGTTTTCTGTACAGAATTTGAGGTTGAAAAGCTGGTTACTAATATGACATTAAACTTTGGTCCTCAACATCCAGCTGCTCATGGTGTCTTAAGGCTTGTTTTGGAACTAAGTGGAGAGGTTTGTTAACTTTCTTTCAAACTTATTTTTATAATTTTTTATTTAACTATAATAAAAAAAATTTCAATTAAAAACTTTTTGGCAGAGTAAAAAGCAAATGTAAATAACGCAAAATTTTAACAAAGTTAACCAAAATATATTAAATAATTTATAACAAATAAGTAAATTCAATTTCCTTCTATGCTTCTAACGTAAAGCTTTGTTTGCTAAATGTGTTACACTAAATGCTAAGCTTCAAATATTAAGTATTAAAAATAATTTAAAGTGTTTGATTTAAACAAAAAATCATTTGTTAAAATATATATGTTGCAAGTCATTTTCAATATATAATAAATAATTTGTAAAATTTTATAAAGAAAAAACTCAATTATTTAGTACTTTTAAGTTACTTTATTTCACTGTTTTCCAACTCTATAGAATTTTCTTTGCCAATTTGTTAACCACAAAAATTTCCAGGATTTTTGTAATAATAGTTTTTCAGGATTTTCATAATGTTGTAAACTCATTTATGTATATTGCACATCAATTTGTATGTAAATGTTTAATCTTATTTTGAACCCTGACATTCCTGCTTCTTTTAGACTGGCACTGTCCTGATATATTTTCTACACTTTAATTTTTAAAATGATTTAAAAGCAGACAGTTTTATAGACAAAAAAAAGAAAATGATTAATAAAAAAAAGCAAAATATTTTTTTGTTGCAGGCCTTGGTGGGTCTAAATAAGCGCGAGAGCAAAGAAAACAAACATGGCGAGTCATGCTCCTCTAAACAGCTTTTTTCGAGTGTTTTTGGTATTTGCATGAGTTATCTTTTTATTCATTAAAAAAATGGCTTATTTAATACAAAATTTGATTTTGCACTCATTACAAGCATATGCTTGTAACATTAGTTTTACAAGAATATATACCTAGTATGCATAGTTTATTGTGCCATGAAAGAGTTCTTCAGATGAACGCTATGCTAGCTATCCATTTATTAACAACTCTACTTATTTTATAAAAAACTTGATAAACGAAGAGCTGTAAAAGTTTTTACTGTTTATTAAAAATATTTTAAATTTTTTTACTGTAAGAGAATGAAGTTACAACACTTATTGCAACAGAGATTCCACAATAAAAGTGTTTATATAATAATTACAATTTTTTTTAGCAGAACATTTAAATATGCATTATTTTTTTTTTGTTATTTTGCTCAAATTGAGACAAATTTATGGAATTCATTATGACTAATATATAAAATATATAATTCATTACATAATATAAAATTTATTGTGCAGTAAATTAGTAAAAGAAAGTGGTTTATATTTATGAAAGAGCTATAGCTTTGCAAAAACTGTAAATTGCTCTCTAAACCACTTTAGGAAAGTGTGGGCGAGAGCAAGAGCTTAAGCTTTCAATTTCTCCCTAGGCCTGTTGTGATGAATCTCTTTTATATGTAGATGCTCCCTGTCCAAACTCAAACCCTCAGTCGCTGTATGTAATATAGATTTTGTTGATGGCTGTTTCAGTATGATGTCATTAGTGACCTTTCATTTCTATTTATTAATATTTTTTTTAACGATTCAATGTTCAAGCTTTTTTAATTTCAAAAATTTTTTTTAAGGTAACGTTAAAAAATTTTGTGAGGTGTAAAGTTATAAAGTACAATCCAACTGATAATTTTTGTTTTTAAAATGGTTTTGTTGACCATTATATTGATTTTGTATTTTTTTAATGTAATGTTTTATTCAAATTTTTTATGTTTTGGATAGTCTTTGCATAGATTGGTTGGTGCATCTTGCATTACAACCTGATGAAGTTTATACATTTGACTTTACTGTAATTTTTTACATTGCAATTGCTGTTTTATAGGTAGTTGAAAGAGCTGATCCCCATATTGGGTTACTTCACAGAGGTACAGAAAAACTGATAGAATATAAAACCTATTTGCAGGTAAATAATGTACTATAAAAACTAATTTGAATAAATACAGAATTAGTACAGTAACATAAAAAGAGTAAATTTTTATGTTCATATATTTTCTTAAAAGAGTATTATACTATTATTGTATTTACTTTTTTTAAGAAACATAAAAAAATATAAATCCTTTAATCTTGAATAACTTTTTACAGGCTTTACCATATTTTGATCGTTTGGATTATGTTTCCATGATGACAAATGAACAGGTTTACTCTTTAGCAGTTGAAAAACTTCTAAATATACAAATCCCAGAAAGAGCTAAATGGATTAGAGGTAAAAAATATTAAAATGTTTATTTGTTGTTTTTTTTAATTCTTGAAAATCAATTTTTTTCCATCTGACAACATGACATATAATGTTATAGAATTTAAAGTCTTTATGCAGGCCAATCTCATTAATCACAATATCAAATCATGAAATAAAGCCAATATCTGATTTCCAAACAATTTAGCTTTCAATCAAATTTTATGATAAATTTTAAGCAGTTGTGTTTTATTCTTTAAAAATGATAAGTTTGTTCAGTTTGTTTATTAAGTCATGTTTGCTGAAATAACTCGAATTATGAATCACATAATGGGAATCACAACACATGCTCTGGATGTAGGTGCAATGACTCCTTTCTTCTGGATGTTTGAAGAGAGAGAAAAAGTAATTTACTTTTTTTAAAAAAGTTGCTTATATTTGCAAGCTATATTTATAATGCTTTATTTTTTTATTGTAAAATGCCCTTTAAATTTTCTATGTAATATTTTTTTTTTTTTCAGTTTCATTAAAGTTAGATTTATTAGTATACTACTAACATTTAAAAATAAATGAATTTATTAGGCATTTACACAAAGTACAAATAAGATTTGTTTTGGTTGCATATATATATATATATATATATATATATATATATATATATATATATATATATATATATATATATATATATATATATTATATATATATATATATATATATATATATATATATATATATATATATATATATATATATATATATATATATATATTTATATATATATATATATACAAGGGTTTGCTTTGTTTTCTAAGAGGCAAATTAACTTAAATTTGTCAGCAATAAGTTGTAAAAAACAAACAATTAACTTACGACTACAAAAGTAATACTCTAGTCACTAACTGCAATATAAAATTAGTAAACCTATAATAGTGTTATTAATTTTATAACCTACTTATAACTTTTATGTTCATTCTTTGTTCAAACAGCATGAGTAATACCAAATTTTAATTGAAGTAGAAAAGCATCTAGAAAAAATAGAGTGGATATTCAAATAATGTTAAAAACTTTAGGAACTTAAACTAATATGTGCTTTATAAATAGTTTATCATTTCAAAAAATGTTACTAATGGTCCATGAAAATGCGCATAAATTTTAAAATCAATCAATAAAAAATTTTTACTGGTTGATTTTAAAATTAATTTTTTAAGGATGCATTTTTAAGGACCATTTATAACATTTTAGAAATACATTTCTAAAATGTTATTAATGGTCAAACATTTCTTATAAAGCATGTAAGTTAGGGTGGTCCATAAAACAACTTTTTTGAGAAAAACCTGCTGACACCCCCTAAATGTGTTTTATCTAATGCAAAAACACTAGGTTTAAAATTTTTTTGAACAAAAATTATTTTTAGGGGTAGCTCAAGGCCCTCAAAAATTTGACGGGTCCCTAATATTTTGAAAAAAAAACTTTTTCTAAAGTATGTCAACCTGGTACTCAAAATAAGCAAAATTATATAAAAAATTTAAAAATGATAATAATTTTTTATAAAAATAATTTTTTTAGGTATAAATGCATAAAAACTATTGTTTTTAAGCTGAAAATAAAAAAAGTCAATATTTTTAGGTTTTTTGAGAATAATTTTTTTTAGGCATGTTTTTTATGTAAAATGATTATTATTTTTGAAGTTTTTATACAATATCGCTTCTTTTGAGTACCAGGTTGACATACTTTAGAAAAAGTTTTTTTTTCAAAATATTAGGGACCCGTCAAATTTTTGAGGGCCTTGAGCTACCCCTAAAAATAATTTTTGTTCAAAAAAATTTTAAACCTAGTGTTTTTGCATTAGATAAAACACATTTAGGGGGTGTCAGCAGGTTTTTCTCAAAAAAGTTGTTTTATGGACCACCCTAATGTAAGTCCTAAGTTTATTGTTTTGTTTTGTTTTTAACAACTTTAAGCTAGAGAGCCTATATACTCAGAGAGCGGACATACGTGTGATTGTTTTTGATTGGTTGTTCGATTTTTATGATTTTAGACGCCATCTTTTTGCCTAAAATACTAACTGCGATTAAAGTCTACTACTAAATTTGTATTAAATATTTGTAAAAGTATGCCTGGTTGTGCTGCAGTAGGCTGCCATAACAGGCCTGAGAAAGGATTTATTATGAAATGCTTCCCAAGAAATGAAAAACAACGGGCGATTTGGACTTCTAAAGTTAAACAACTTAGCTGGATACCTACAAACACAAGCTTTTTATGTGAAGTAAGCATAAGAAAATACAGTTTTATGTAATTAATCCTAGAAATGAGTTATTTTAGAATCCATACAAATACATTATATTTGTTCAATTTTTTTATTAAGGTACACTTTGATGCTGATCAATGGGAAAAAACCAGAGAAGATGGATCAAGAAAACTCAAACATAATGCAATTCCTACTGTCTTTAAACATGTTAGAGCAAAACATAAGCGAAAAAATCCACTCGAGCGTTTTCCAATACCAAAAAAAAAGAAAATAAGTTTGATAGAAAGAGAAGTTGTGGAAAATGTTTTAATTGAAGTAAATAACAATGAAGTATCTGAATCAGTTTGCACAACTGAGGTTGATAAAAGTTTACTTATACAAGATTTAAATGCAAAATTGGAGAGATTAGAAAAAAAAGTCAATAATCAAAAAAAAAAAATTAACATTTTAAAATTAAAAAATTAACATTTTAAAATTAAAAGCAAGAATAAATACTATTCAAAAATATAATCATATAAAGAGAGATAAATTTAGAGTTTTCAAAACAATATTTAAAGAAGATCAAATTTTATCCTTAAGTAGAAAAAATATGAAATTCATTAAATGGTCAAATGATACTATAAATGAAGCGTTAGAACTCAAATTTACATGTGGTCAAAGTGGTTATGAAAATTTACTTCGTTTAAACTTACCATACCCATCATTACGTACCCTACGACGAAGATTAGAAAATCTAAAATTTCAAAGTGGCATTCTAACAGAAGTCTTTGAGTTTATGAAAACTAAGGTGAATGCCATGAAAATCCATGAAAAAGAATGTGTTTTAATTCTTGATGAAATGTCAATAACTGAAAGTGTTGACTATGACACATCTACAAGCTCTTACTATGGAGTTGTTACATTACCTGAACATTATGGCTAAGCTAACCATGCTTTAGTTTTTATGCTTGGAGGAATATCTACAAGATGGAAACAAACTGTTGCATATTGTTATACTGGAAGTTCTGTTAATGGGGGTGTTTTAAAAAACATTGTCCTATCTATAATAAAGTATACCAAAGAAATAGGATTAAAAGTTAATAGTGTTACTTCTGATATGGGTGCCATTAACCAGGCAATGTGGAAATCTTTTAATATTAGCTGTACTAAAAGTGGCAGTATTTCTAGTTCAATTAAACACCCATGTGACCCTACTCGTACAATTGATTTTTTAGCAGACGTACCACATTTATTAAAGAATATAAGAACATCTCTTTTATGTAACAAACATTTTATAATAACAGCTAAGATTCAAGAAAAATATAAACTTCAATCGCCAATTATAGATTCAAAACACCTTATCAAGCTTGTAGACTTTCAAGAAGGTATGGATTTGAAGTTTGCTTACAAGCTTACATCTGAACATCTTGATGAAAAACATTTCAACAAAATGAAAGTATCAAGAGCAACATCTGTAATGAATCATGATGTAAGTTGTGGATTAAAATTTATTGCAAGTGAAATAAAAGATGATTCTATTCTCACAACTGCTTGGTTTATAGGAATTGTTGATAAATGGTTTACATTAATGACTTTATGAAACCCAGGTATGGCTCTTAGCATGAAAAATGACAAAGTTTACAATGAAACAATAACTTTTTTAAATGAAGTCATAGAGATATTCAATGGTTTAAAAATATTAGGCCAAACTGGAAAAATAAGGTGGAAACCTATTCAATCTGGTGTTATATTATCAACAACATCAGTTATTAACTTGCAAAATAAGTTTCTTCTAGAAAAAAAGTTTGATTTTCTAATGACATCATGATTTACGCAGGATTGCCTGGAGAATCTTTTTTCCCTGGTACGTGCAAAACAAGTAATTCCTACTGCTCTTCAATTTAAAAATAACTTGAAACTTATTTGTGTTGCCCAATTCTTAAAAAAATCATCAAAAGGCAGTTATGATATAGATGACCGTCAATTCTTATCTGGTTTTCTTGATATAGTTAATAGTAAGGTGCATAAGCCACAGCAAAGAGAGTGCATTTTGTTACCTAAAGATTGGGATAAAACCTCTAACTTAATCTTAAGTAATGCTGAGCAAAATTGTTTGTTTCATATTGCAGGTTATATAATTTCTAGAGTTAAAAAAATTGAAAAAGTTTGCGCAATTTGTTTTGAATCTCTAGTTTCTAAAAATAGAATTAATGCTGATTACACAAAGTTTGTTACAGACAAAGAGCACAAAGTGGGTAGTTTATTTTTTGCTAATGAAACAACATTTGCATTCTTTTTACAAATGGAGTTAATATTCAGATCATTTGAGCCATACCTTAATTCCCAAAAGAATTGTAATACTATGCTTTTAGAGAAAATTAATTCTGATGAACAAATTAAAAGTCTAACTTTGTATCCTAGTTGTCATCAAATTAAATTGAAGCTAAAAAACAGGTTTATAACATTCAGACTTAAAATATTTAGCCTTAAAAAAAAGCGTTTATTATGTAAAAAGAAAAAAACTAAAAAAATTTCTTGTGAACTTTGCAGCAAGAGTATGACAATGCATGCATTGGCACTAAAGGTTTAGGTTCAACTAATTTATAAAATAAACTGTAAAGCTTTTTTCAAATTACTTATTGATTACAACTACTTTTTTGCTGTGTTTTCTTTTAAAGGTATTTCCTAAATAAATAAATAATTTTGTCGAAATAATAATTTTGAAAAAATAAAACATAAAAAGGTTTAATTTTTAAAAATATATTTCTGTTTAAAATATTATTGTGCTCATTTTCTTTCAATTGTTTTTACTTGAATTTGTGAATGTCATACGCTAGTTTGGCAAAAACATGGCCGCCGTTCTTCCGTATTTTCCGTATGTCCGCTCTCTGAGTATATAGGCTCTCTAATTTAAGCTAATTTGCCTCATAAAAGCAAAGTACATGGTTTTGCATAAACTTAAATTTTGAAGACCAGATATTTTTCCAGATTTCGCAAATTGTTTAATTCAACCCTTGATATATATATATATATATATATATATATATATATATATATATATATATATATATATATATATATATATATATATATATATATATATATATATATATATATATATATATATATATATATATATATATATATATATATTACATGTTTTACCTGTTAGAAAACTAAATAAAGCTTTGTATTATATTTTTTTTTATTCAAGAAGATGTAATTTTTTGTATATAAATTCTATATTACCCCAGTTATCATGAAACACACTAGATTAATGACATTTACAATGCTTTCATATGAAGAAAAAAAAAACATTGAAGTGGCTTGACTTATCCCCTTTTAGCATAATTTTAAAAAAAGACAAATAAATGTGTGTAAAAAATAATGTTATTTATCAAAAACACCAAGAAATCAATGTTTACATAAACTCCTATTTATAAAGAACTAATTTTATAAATATATACTATCTTCAAAGAAATCTCTTTAGTCTTAGATAAGCAATAGGAGCAACAAAAACTTAGTCATCATTTTCAACTTCAATAACTTCTGTTGTTGGCCACATATAAATTTCAGCATAAAAGTCTTTAAACTCCACTGGAATGTAGGATTGCAGTTTTTTCATTATTTATTGGTACTTTTTCTGCAGGGTAAGTTTCTTTACTTGGAAAAAGTTTGGGCAACCTTTTTCTCTAAAGGAAAAGCTATGATTCATTATAGAATCGATGAAAAGTTGGCCAATAACCTTAGATGGAAACTTTATATCATATGTGCAGTGCATAAACTTGCTTATTGAAAAGTACTGCTTTTTGTCCATTTTAACTTGCTTCCCTTTGGTTTCATTCAAAACACAACTTTTCTTGTAAAATTACGGCTTCCAGGTCTTGAAGTCTAAAATTTCTGAGGACTTTTTGTACCACAAATTTATTATTTTTGGAGGATGTCTTAATAAGGTCACGTACGAAGGTCTACTGTGTATAGCCTATCATTTTGGTTTATTTCTTGCTAAAATGCTAAAATCCCTATCACATGGTAGAAAAGAGTGCCCTCAAAATTACTCAATCTTTTCAATTTTCTTTAAATCAATTATGGCTAAGAGTAGTCTAGATACTGAATTGTTTTTATTTTGGCCCCAACAATTATCTAAGAATAAGTGGAGTTCGGTAAACTGCTTCTCTATATTTATATACCTAAATATTTAAAAAGAAGGAAACACACTGTATCTGGACCCTTGCCTGCTGTGCCTTGGTGGTAAACAAAAATGTTTGCTTTGTTACTTTTATTGTTATGAACACAAAAAACATTAACTGAAGATTGCCTCAGATAGAAGGTTTCTTGCACTGGTATTTTTGGGATTTGTATGTTCTGCATAAATTCAAAAGACAATGATAAAATTTGTCATTAGCGTCTTTTTGAATTCGATCATAAAACTTTTTCTATTTGCATTTATGTACATCAAGTTCAGATTGAGCACATCTCTTTGCTTAAGAGGATTTCTTAACTTTAAATTGAGTTTTTCACAAGTGCAGCATATGTCAACTTGTTGCCTTCCAAAGGAAAGATTATAGTTTTCTTTAAAGTAGTTGTAAAACTTTCTTTCACCAACTTTTATTGAAAAGGATTTTTCTTTAAACAGCCTATGCATAGTTTGTATGCATAGCATACAGCCTTTCCAAGATAATGACTTTCCTTAGTTGGAAAGCTTTCAAGTGCTGTATGATAAAAAATTTGGTTCCTTCAGACAATGTTTCTTTTATGTGACATCCTATTTTGTCCTCTGGGTTTTTTCCAATCATTTTCAAAGCTCACAATCTTTCAATTCGTTTTTTTTGTAACAGCATGGAAACTTAAAAAAGCTTTAAAACATATCTGCATTCAATTAGAACCAACAAAAATGTGATGCTCAAAAGAAGCACTTTTTTAAAAAAAACTCTTCTCCTTCCTGGGTCGTCTCTGCTTTATTTCTTGGGAATCAATCAAGGATTGTAGGAACAAATCCTGCTTATCTTTAGTGTTGAAGGTATGGAGATGGTTTAGTATATCTGTTTGATCCTCTTCGTTAATTTTCTCGAGAAAGTTGTTTCTCAAGCAGCTAAAAGAAACAAAAAATACTTTTATACTGTGTTTTATTAAAACTTTTATCTGTGAAATTGAATACAAAAAAATTTACCTGCAGGGTAAGCCAGTGTACTTTTGAGGTACAGTATTTCCTTGGTAGTTAACAAATTCTTCAGCTTTTATTCTGGCAACTTTTATGTTTCTCTTCCAAAAACTTGGATCAGCTTTCCTTTTCTTTGTTGACTTTTTTTTAAGAAACTCATCGCTTTTTTCTGAATTTATTTCCATGTTTTACTTATTTATGTTAAGAGTAATAACACAAAACATAAAGTTAATTTGTTAGGTTAATTCTTATTTAGGTTAAGCTAAAATACAATAGTATAAGATAAGAACACAAGACATAAAGATAAACATAAAAAAGGGGGTATTTTGATAAAAAAGAAGAAGTGTGGGGAATTTTTTTTTATTACTATATTTATTTCTGTCAGTTCGTGAAAACATTCGATCGGACGAAATGTTACAATAAAAGTATTTTTTATAAAAAAAATTTAATTTATAAATCCAAACTAATATTTTTTAAAAAACATGCATAAAACTATTTAATTCTAGCATGGCTTGCATTCAAATGCGCATTTTCTAACAGCTGTTTTATCATAATTTCAATAGGATTTATATGGTGATATTAGTACATAATATATACGATGATAAACGACATAAGAGGAATTTTTATGCTAAAAGGGGAGAAGTCAGCAACTTTACTCCTTTTAGCATGAACAGCTCTATAATCGATTGCAGTTACTGTGGTAACCAAGCGTTTGATATGTTTAATTTTATCATAAATAGTTGAAACCTGTTCTTAAAACATCAAAACCAATGTTAACTTATTTTTTAATTTTTGTGACTTAACCTCTTTTAGCATGACTTGATTAAATTTTTATCTTTCATCTTTAAATTGGAAATAAAATTTCCAATTTGAAAAAATCCCATTCTCCAAATAAAGTTTCCAAATTAAAGTTTAATAATAATTCTAAAAATAATTTAAAATTATTATTCAAAACTAATAGAAAAATAACATAAAAAAATTCTAATTCATTAATTGCGTGAAACATGAAATCAAATCGCCATTATTGGTATAAAAACGCAATTGCATAACTGCAAAAGTTGGTTTCTTGGAAAAAAACATCATGAGAGTTGGGATTTTTGGAGCGATTTTTGGGATTTTGTGCCAACTTGCAATAAAGTTTGAAAATAGTTTTTTGCAATGCATTCTAACAGCAAATATTATATAAAATAGTTAGCAAGAAATAAAGTACTAATCTAAAAGATCCAAAATAATAACAAACTTGTTTGGTTTAACACCCTCAAATGCTATTTCTTTAAAAGTTTCGCCTTTTGACTAAAAAGTTAAATAACTTATTAAGTCTTACCGTAAACTCAACTTTAAGTAGTATGTGTATTTCGTCAATAAAAATATCGAGAAGGTTATGTCAGATACTTTTTGATCAATTACGGTTATTACGAAAAGTCTTTTAGTTATGGTTTTTCTTTTTTTTGTTTGGTATTTTATATCAACTAAGTTTGGTAAAGTTTTTTACTTTTTTAATGGTATTCTTCGATGACACGCATGCAATCGCTTGCTAATAATATTACTCTAATTAAATGACATTTGTTGTTGTTTTTGCTGAGATTTGTGATTATAACTTTATTTCGCTATGCGATTTATGTATAAAATAAATTATTATTAATTATAAAATTGAATTCGCAATAAATGTGAAATATGAAATTTATGAGCTCGTGTTTACTATTTTTAAAACCTTATCAAAAAATTTCTTTTGATGACACAATTTATTACATGATGATGTAAGGGTTCGTCCGTAAAGTATGTCGAGCAGAATTTAAACAATAATTAGAAGTAGAAGATCATTGGCTCATTGGAGATTGCTATTTTACTATATAAAAATTGAAAAAAATATATATATTCAAAATAATACTCTTGAAATGTAAGCGGCGACAATATATAAAGATTAAAAATAAATCAAATTAATTATTCTCAATAATAATTAATATACACTGATTATTTTATAATAAAAAAGATATATCATTCCTAATATATGTTCGGAAATAGGTTCTTAGTTTGCCGTGTCGTCATGAATCAACAGCTAATTTTGTGTTTTTTTTTTATATCCATTGTTTATATATCCTTTTTTATATCCATCATACGTTTTATATCCATCGTTTTATATCATACATTTCTCATCGTTTCATACGTTTCATACATTTCATTGTTTCATACGTTTCATCGTTTTATATTATACGTTTCTAATATAAAATATACTTTATATCATACGTTTATATCATACGTTTCATACGTACTCACATCATACGTTTTATATCCACATTTTATATCCATCATACATTGTTTTTATATCTATCATACGTTTTTTTATTTCATATCCATCTTAAATGATACAGTTGGTATTTTATTTTATTTTTGGCGCTAATCAATCAATGTATGCAGCGCTGAAGTAGAGTAGAAAAAATATATATATATATATATATCTGTGTTAATAAAATTTAAACATTTTGGTTAATCAATAGTTTATATTTATATTTTGAAATATAGTTTTTTATATGTTTTAGCTTATGGAGTTTTATGAAAGAGCATCAGGTGCACGATTACATGCAGCTTATGTTCGTCCTGGAGGAGTTGCATTGGTTAGTTTAAAATTTTATTTATAAGGTCTACTTTTTTGTTTTATTAATAATTATATATATATATATATATATATATATATATATATATATATATATATATATATATATATATATATATATATATATATATATATATTAAATAATAACATCTTGTATGAGTTTTATCAATTTAATTTATTAACATCAATAAATATAAGCAAACATTTGTTGTTTAAGCTGAATATGCATTACTTTTTGTATGTACTAAACCCACCTCTTATCCATGTTTCAGTTACAGCCTTAGGTAATATTAAAACATGATTTTGATTGTTAAGGATATACCAATTGGTCTATTAGATGATATATGGCATTTCATGTCAAAATTTGGTCAACGCATTGATGAACTTGAGGAAGTAGGTTATATCTTTTTGTTTGTTTTTTTGTAATTTTTTTTTTTATTCAGTTTAATTTTTTTTTTTTTTTTTTTGGGGGGGGGGGGGTAAAGTTGGGTTGTGGTTAACATTTATATTAGCATTAATAACTAGTAATTTCTATTACTAGTTATTAATTTTGTTACGGACTACTAAGCTAGGGCAGCATTTCTCCCCACCACCATCTAATGCATTGAAAAAATAATTTAATAAACTTTATTTTGATAAAAGTAGTCATCATTACTGATGAAGTTTGTTTATTATTGTTATTTATTGTTATTTTTAAACTTTTTAAAGGGTTTTTTATTCACTATTAATATAGGTTTGTTAGCAGTTATGACTAACCCTTTGAAAGATTGCCCTATATACTTACAAAATTTGATAAAAAGTAATAAATTTTATCATCTAGATGCTAACACATAATCGTATTTGGAAGCAACGGTTAGTGGATATTGGTGTTGTGAGCACCGAAAATGCTCTTTCATATGGAATGTCGTAAGTTTTTCAAGATCTTTCTGGAAGTATTGTATTTACTTTTCAGTAATAACAGAAAATTAGTATTATCAAAAATAGTATTGTTAATAATAGTGCTAATAGTAATAATATTATGTTATTATATCCTTTATTATAGTTAATAGTAGTTATGATAATAATAATTCTAGTTCTAATTTACATATATTTAAAGTTGTTAAATTTTTAATTTTTTTATTTGAAAGTGGCGTTATGTTGCGAGGTTCCGGCTTTAAATGGGATCTTCGTAAATCTCAACCATATGATGCATATGATAAAGTGGAGTTTGATGTGCCAATTGGTAAAAATGGGGACTGCTACGATAGGTAAAAATTTATGTATACAGCATATCATTTACTGTTTGTTTTGTGTATACATCATATCATTTATTGTGTGTTTTATGTATACATCATATCATTTACTGTGTGTTTTATGTATACATCATATCATTTACTGTGTGTTTTATGTATACATCATATCATTTACTGTGTGTTTTATGTATACATCATATCATTTACTGTGTGTTTTGCTGCACTCATTAAATACTTTATAAAAATTTTCTTAAGGTACTTATGTCGTGTTGAAGAAATGCGTCAAAGTGTGCGTATCGTTGAGCAGTGCTTAAACAAAATGCCTCCAGGTGAAGTTCGTATTGATGATGCTAAAATTTCTCCGCCTAAAAGAGCTGAAATGAAGGAGTCAATGGAAGCTCTTATTCATCATTTTAAACTATACACTGAAGGTTATTCTGTTCCTCCTGGAGAAACATACACTGCTATTGAAGCTCCCAAGGTGTTAATAATCTAATTGTCTGTTATTTTGTTTAGATTTTTAGAATGTACATGCTTTGTTTTATTAGTATGCAGTTATATAAAACTTGTTATTTTTTTTAAGGGCGAAATGGGTGTGTATTTAGTTTCAGATGGTTCCAACAAACCATACAGGTGCAAAATAAGAGCACCTGGTTTTTATCATTTAGTAAGTTCTTGTTTTTATTACTTAAAAAGTTTTTGTTTTTTTATATAAAAAGTACTTGTTTATTATTAGTTTTTTATTATTATTATATTGTAACAGTTTTCATTTTTATCACAAAAATTTTGCAAATATTAAAAATACTAATTATCTTAATAATGTTAATTTTTTGACAAAAAATGACATCAAATATAAAAATATAAAAAACTTTGCCTTTTTTAGGAACTCTGAAATGTGATGTATCATAGTTTTCTTTTTAGGCTTGTTTTTTTTTTTTTTTTTTTTTTTTTTTTTTTCTTACATTTTCATACAAAAATTTTCAATTTCAGTTAGAAGTTATAGACTATTGGAAATAAATAATTTTTGAATTTTGTTTTATTTCAATGTTACAGAATAATCTTATGCTTTAATATATTGGGAAGTTAACTTACAAAAATAAAGTTAAAGAATCATTTATTTTTTTAAATCACTAAAAAAGTCAATATTTACATTATCAAGGTAAACAAGTTGTTTTCTATCATAAGAATTTAATTTAGAATTGTTAATGGACATCTTTAAGTGGCTTCTGATGCTATGCCTTTTTTTTGTTGTTTTACAGAGTTCAGATACATAATTGAACAGGGTATGAAATTTTGGTTTTAAAGTAATACCATATTCCAATATGTTATAGCCGGCCTTTTTTTTTTTCAATATTAAAAATAATGCTTTCATCATGGTCTGGATTTAAACTAGACTCAATAACTAAATTTAACAACTTTAAGCATTCTTCAAAAGACTTTAGTTTAATTGGCAGCAAGTTCGGTTCAAATACTACCCTCTTATTTAGAATTTTTCAGGAAGAATTTCCATTAAATTGTCAACCATGCTGGTCAGTTTAAATAATTTGCAACTGTTTACAAGTCTCTTATATTCATTTCCAACCAGGTCTGCTTCATGTTATCGATTACATGGTTGACTGTTCACTCCATTATTAAAGCTCTGGTATAACAAATCTGTCTACTAGAAATTCAGAGGAGTTTCCATGTACTAACTTTTGAACATAATTCAGAAAACCTAAATTTAGGCTTACCTTTATAAGACATGTAAAAAAATGCAAAGTTTAAAAAGAAACTAATTTTTTATTTATTGAAAAACAATCTTTATTTTGTTATATGTTTTACTTCTTTAAAAGTAGATACCAAGGTGGGGGACCAATTAGAAAGACAACACATGTTGATACCAGATATATTCAGATCTTTTTCTAATAATAGTAAAAGATCTGAGTTTATTAAAACATGACTTAACAAACTAGCTTAACTAAAGCTATTTTTGCTTGGTATTTTATTTTACTATTGGAAGATATTCTTGTTAAAGGAAATTTTGAAGAATTTATTTTTGTAATTTTGAATTCAAATAGCAGAAATCACATTTTTATTGAATGAATAAATAAATTTTGTTAAATTTATTGCCACAATTTTGATCCAAAAATTAAAAATTTATTTAAAAAAGAATTTTAGCAGAAAATATTTTCTATTAAGGCTTTATAAAATTTTGCAAACTAATTTAGATTCAAGCCTACTATCATGAAAACATTCCATATGACCACTTTCCAGTATTTTCTACTTGTTCATTTATAATTTTACAATGCATAATGTTTATCTTGTTAATTTTTATTAATCTCTTTTAAGTTTACTTGCTTCCATTCCATTTTTCCATTACTGAATTATACTTATTTTTCTGCAATCATAGCTGCAATCATAAATCATCTGCATAAAATTGTTCCAATAAACAATAAATCCAACAAGACTGTTCAAATAGATCAAAATGTGATGACTTTTTGTTGAGACTGGAGTATATAGTTGTGCCATTTTAAAAAATGCCAATTATGAGATAAGAATAGAGGACAACTTTTATACCATGATTAGTAAGTAATGATTCAAAAACTTTCCCAAATTCACCATATTAAGTGAGAAGACCAGCATGCAAGACATTATCAAAAGCCTTTGATATATCAAGAGCAATAGCCCTTTTCTTGCCACTTTCATTTAATACATTAGTCTTTCTGTTATAATAGTTAACATGTCAGTAGTAGAATAAAGGATCAAAATCCATATTAACTGTCAGAAAGTAAGTTGTTATATTCATGATGAGATGTTAAAAGTTTGTTAAAAATACAAACAATTTGTGAATAACAGTAAAATAATAGTAAAGACTTTGTGAATAACTGTAAGATAATAGTATAGACTTTGTGAATAATAGTAAGATAATAGTAAGGAAATAATAGTAAGAAGATTCAGTGATAGTTAAAGAAATTAGAGCAATCTCCAGAGTTTTTCAAAAATTGAATCACAGATGCCATTTCCGGCAGGCAGGAAAATAAGATTCAGTTAAGCACTTGCTGTATACTTTAGAAAGTAATAAGGAGAGGTCTGGAGAACACTTCTTTAAAACTGCAACAGGAATGTTATCTGGACCACAAGCTGTAGAAGAGTTTAAGTAGGAAGCAACATTAGCAGGACTGATTTGGGTGTCTAACAATGGATCAACCTGTTTCTTTGGGGTGACATAAAGGGCATAGTTATTAGATTCCAGAGATGAGTTAAAGAAAAAGTTTTTTATAAATAGTTCTGTCTTATTCTTAGGAGAGATAAAAGATTTATAAGAGGTTTTGGGAGAGATACGAGGTATGAGAGGTGAAATATTAGACTTGTAATAAAATAAAATAGCTTCTTTATTACACCTTTTTTAATGAAAATAAAAATTGTTAAAGAGTTTCTAAAGGTCTTTAGAACCTAACCTCAAAGATAAAATACAAGATTTTTAAAGGTCTTTAGAACCTAACCTCAAAGATAAAATACAAGATTTAGGAACCTGAGTATAATGGACTTTAACCTCAGACAATAACTTTTTGCATCGATTTCTTGCAATAACAAAAAAGATTTTTGTTCTCTAGAGAGTTTTTTTTGTAGAAAAGATTTTTAAAAAAATGATTAGACCAAAAAAATGATTAGACCAAAAATAAAAGCTGCACACGAAACAGAAAAATAAAAGGATTATTTGTTTTGACTCTTATTAGGTCATTTTGTACATTAAATATAATAATATAAATAAATATTATTATTTTGTACATTATATAAAATGTAATCTTATAATTATATTTATTTCAACCATTGAAATCAAATATAAATACAAAAATCTAGAAAAATTCAAATAATTTTGAATTGCTCTTTGAATTTTTAAAAACTTTATAAATCTTGGTTAACAGGTATTTGGTATTACACTTAAATTCTTGATATTAAAAATTAAATTATATTGTTGTTAAATTTAAAAATATCAAAACTGTTTTTTTTTTTTTTAAGGCAAGCATTGATTATATGTCTAAAGGCCATATGTTAGCAGATGTTGTTGCTATCATCGGTTTGTATTTTTAATATATTTGTAGTATTTTTACTTGGAGTCTTGGCACTCCACTAATGCGCAGGAGTTTCTGAATTTCCTAGGTTTAAAGTATTGGAATCAAAGAATCCCTCACTTTTCTTCAAAAAAAATCCACTCATTTTACTAATACACTAAACTTCCAATAGCTCAAGTAACTTCTGAAAGCTCATGTAACTTCCAATATCTTAAGTACCATAGTGTTTACAAATTCTTTTTTTAATTCAATTTCTCATAAAAATCACTCAAAAAATCGAAAATTAGGTTGAACCTTTTTCTTTGTTCCTTGGCCTTGGAGGTTCAAGTTATCAGGAGTTAAATATATATTTAAAGTAAATTATATATATGCAATACAACAACAACACAATAACATAAATTTTAATTAAATAAAATTTAATAATTTAAAAAAAAAAAAGCAGATTTTAAAAGTTATACACTACTTGATTGATTGTTTTTAAGCATCAAATAAAAAAGAAATTGCTAATAGTTTTTCACCTGATTGTTAAGATTACTTACGGTTAAACGATTACAATATGCTTTAAATCAGTGTTACCGCTGAAATTTAATTTTGTTACCATACTAATAAATATTTGATTCATTTCATATAAGTTTTTATAGTCAAAAACAAGGAAAATTAAAAAAGCTAAGAGAAATCAAAAAAGGAAAACGCTTAAGTTTTGATATTTTCCAATTTTTTTTAGAAAATATTTTTAATATAAGAATAATTAAATTTTTTTTAATGAAGGTATTATTTTAAATATAAAAGTAATTTATGCAAAATACACATTATCAACCTATTTAAAATAGCACAGTTTTACGACCAAACCTTAAAAAAAAAATTATGCTTTAGGAACCCAAGATATCGTATTTGGTGAAGTGGACAGATAGTTGTAACGAATCATTAAAGTTTGGGAACTTTAAGAAATTTCAGTTTGTTAATTTGTTTTTTCTGAACATTTTTTAAAATTAATTTGTAAAATAAACTCAAAACCTTACTAACAGCAAATATTTTTTATTTGTTAAAAAAATGACTTTTAAATATATTTTGTTTTCATAAAAATTCAAACATATATATATATATATATATATATATATATATATATATATATATATATATATATATATATATATATATATTTGCACAAATATTGTATCCAATATTTTTTGATAAAAAGAATGATTTTTAAATTTAGCTTTAAAAAGAATTAAATATATGTGAAAAAAAAGAAGATAAACTCCAGCTCTTAAAAAAGATAGTACCATACGTATAAACATTTTGCTTTAGGCTAATGGTTATACGTGATGTAATGTCAATCAAGTTATTAAAGAATAACTAATCATCTCAAGAATCCTACGCATGGCCGTCCCTAAGCGGAGGGTGTCGGGGTTTCCCACTCTTTCCAAAGCTGTCATATAAGGAGTCATCCATAAATGATGTCAATACATATAGGGGGGAGGGGGTACTAGAAAGTTTGACAAGAATTGACAATGGGAAGAGAGTGTTGAGACCAAGATGATGTCAATTTAAGAAAAAAAAAATTCAACTTTATACGAGCAGATTTTAAAGGTATTTTCATCTACAATGTGGTATAGAAATGGCATATTTGCTTTGTAGAGACTTCGATGTAAGTTTCCTAGAGACATGAAATAAATTGAAAATTTACCATTTTATTATTGTATTACCATTTGACTGAAAATCTAAATGTTTACAAATATCAGCAATTTGTATATAAATTTAACAATCATTATTCGATCCCTAGCGGTTTATAAAATGTGCTTCAAAGCAAACTCATAAAGTCATTAGTCTTTATTTTAATACAATTGTCATTATTATCAAAGATCGTTTCAGCTACTCATGGGAAGATGATGAGTGATTGAATTTATATTATAGATAAAGAATACAAATTTGATTAGTTCGTTATTTGATGAGATATCAACTGTTCTATAATATAACTTGTTGAGGTCTACTATTATATAAATGTATAATTTAACCAGAAAAAAATCAATGGTTTTAACACGTTTTAAATGTTACTTTAGGAAGGGGGAGGGGGTACAAAAACTGACATCATATATAAGACGGGGGGTGGCAAAAATTGACAGTTTAACAAAGGTGGGAGGGGTTCAAAAATTGAGTAAATTCACTGACATTAATGGACAGCTCCTAAGCATTTGAGTTGGCACATTGAGAGGTTTTGAACTATAGAGGACCTTCTTTTTTTGTTGTTTGGCGTTTTTAGGTGGCAAAAAAATACTTTCACCTCCCCCCCCTCTTCACACACACACCCACCCCCTCTTCCTCCATGGAAGACCTCTTCGGGACGGCCCTGATCCTGGGTGATTTTTAGAAAATCGTGATTTATAAACATCATATTATATTGGCGTAAATATACAAAGTAGTAATTAGTAATTGCTAAAATGCTTACACTATTTGCAGTTGCAAAAAGAAAAAGAAGGAAGCTGCAGTTGCAAAAAAACGATTATATACTTGTAATAAAATAAAATAAAAAATATATAAAAAAGAGATATATACATATATTTATATTGAGAGAGTAATATCATTAATAAACTTTGTTTTGGTGGATTGTGATAATAACATTCTTTTAAAAGAATGTTTTTTTTTTTAAGTTATCTTGATTTTTTATTAGAGCTTTACTTTGTTTAAAAGGAACATTTAAAATCTAGCATAGTGAGATCCATTAATAAGAACAACCGTTTGGATTCTTTTTTAAATCGATCAAGAGTGATTTTCTTTTTATTTGTAATATCTGAAAATAAATTCCATAAATATGGCCCACGAAACTTAATTAAATATGAACTCAATTTTAAACTGTCTTGGGACAGCAAAGTTGTTGATTGAGAATCTTGTGCTATATTTATGGCAGGTTTCACTAAAATAGGATTCAAATATTTTTAGCGATATTACTAGCTTAGTTCTATACATAAAAACTAAAATTTCATGTAAATGTATTTTATAAATATTTAAACCTTCAAGTAAACACAATAAAGGCTCACAGGGTTCTGCTCTATTTGCTCCAAATATAATTTGACATGCATGCTTTTGTTTACTATAAAGATTTAATAGATATAGGGGAAATGGGGGCATAACCGCATATAGAGGCACAACCGTTTTTTATCAATTCCCTTAGAACAATATCTAATATTATTTTTATATACTTTTTTTGCCATATTATCTAATATGGCAAAAAAACATACACCGCCTCGGTAAAACAGTTTCCTTCATTTCGCTTATGTCTAAAAGAGTGCCTGTTGCGTTTCTGAGAAGTTTTGTATAATAATGTTTATTTTGATAAAAATACTATATTTACATCATATTTTTCCGGAACTTTCTTTAAAGAATTAAGCAATATTTGCTTTTAAGTTAAAGATATGTGTTATCAGCGTTATTTTATCAAGTGAAAACCATTTTTGATATCAACATAACCTAATAAGCATGAAACTGCTATGAAACTGTACTCTTTCTAAAAACACGCGATGTGCAATTAGATATGAAACTGTAGTCTTTTTAAAAACTGTCCTCTGGGGCAGAACCGTATAGACGCACACATACACACAGACAGACAAAATTTTTTATAAACGACTTTAACGTCATATATATATATATATATATATATATATATATATATATATATATATATATATATATATGTGTGTATATATATACAGTGCCGGCCTTAGGGAGGGGCGAGGTTGGGCGCCGCCCAAGGGCGCCAGGAAACTGGGGCGCCAAACGTTGTATGCAAACTTTATCAATATAATAAATAGAAAAAATAAGTCAACCTAAATTTTTTCGATTTCGATTTTCGATTTTTTGTTATTTTTTCGAATGTTTGTTTTTTTTATAAAAATAACTTCTTTAAATAATTTCTTTATTGTATTATTACACTGTTAAAAATTCTTTATGCAAAACTAATAATTTGATTAAAAGTGTTTCAATCGTAGCTTATATTTTGTTACTTAAATTCATTTCTTTACTTGTATCTTTCTCGGCGCCAATTATTTTGCGTTCCATTCATTTAAAGTTTAAATTTTAAACATTATTTTCGGTACGAGTTGCGAGCGCGTTGTTTATTAATTTGTAGAAGAAATTTAAAGTTGTATTTGTGATTCAAATTCAGTTTTTGTCAAGTTTTCAAATTTTGCGGTAATAAAAAGCAGGTAAGTATAAATAATGAAATTGTTGCGATCTACTTAGTGATACATCAACCACAGATTTTGGACTGAATATAAGCTTTTGTCGAGGGCAAGGTTACGATAACGGTGCAAATATGAAAAGGTAAAAAAATAGGTCTACAAAAGCGAATATTAGATTTGAATCCTTTGGCTTTTTACCTTCCATGTGGAAGTCATTCTCTCAATTTGGTTATTTGTGACGCAGCTCAGTCTTCACTAAATTCCATTAACGTTTTTGGCATAATACAAAGATTATTCACATTATTTTCTGCATCAACTTCACGCTGGAATGTTTTACTTAGTCATACAACAAACTTCACTCTTAAACGATTATGCGACACTCGTTGGGAAGCCAAAATTGATAGCCTCAAAGCCATCCGATACCAAATAAGCAGCGTTCATATTTAAGAAATACCATGTTGCAAGATCGACTTAATTCTCTATCTATGTTATCAATCGAGCAAGATATAGCTGAAATTTTAGATTTTTCTAGTTTGATAAGAGATTTCGCGGACAAAAAAGCTAGAAAAGTTAGATTTTAAAATTTAATAACTGTTGTTTATATAGTTAGAGGATTTATTATATGTTTAATAAAAACATTTGTTATTTTAAAAGCAGCGTTGCGTTGTCTATTTATTTAGTCACTCATTTCTATAAACCCATATCATGAAGTCTAAATTTATAATTTTAATAAGAAATTAATTAAATAAGAAACTTGATGCACAATGGATCTCTTTGCATTAAACTATATATTCCCTTTAGCACTCTTGTTCATCATTTTAGAGCATTGGTCTCGTTATTAATGGTAACAACCCACCCATAAATACCTAGGGGCGCGTTCACAAGTTTTGCCCAACCTGTCAAAAAAGCTAAGGCCGGCGCTGTATATATATATATATATATATATATATATATATATATATATATATATATATATATGCATATATATATATATATATATATATATATATATATATATATATATATATATATATATATATATATATATATATATATATATATATATATATATATATATATATATGACGTTAAAGTCGTTTATAAAAAATTTGTTTTCGTGGCGAAATTTTGATACCAGCTCATCTCTTTTGTTTAATTATTTCATTTTGATTTGTATATCCCTTTTTTTTAATTTCCTATATGAACTTGGAAAGCTTTGTTGAATTTGCTTTGCTTTCGTATTGGAATGAGTTTTTGTGCTTGTACCAACGGTCTTTAAAAGTATTTTCTGTTAATCCAATATCATTGAATCCGCTATCTTGTGGTGAAGTTTTTACGTTACAGCAGTATACTATATTCTTTAGAGGCATTTTCCTTCCAAAGGACATTGCAAAGTTTGTCGGCAGTTGCACTGTTGGTTGGTTGAGGTGTTAGTACCAGATAAAAATTTTTTATTGTGAGCAGTGATAATATTTTTGATGTTAGGAAAACAGCTGTATCTTACTTTTAAGTTATTTTTATTGAAGAGATTATAAAACTTATGAGATTTCGGAAAGTGTTTTTTTAACTAAATTTAAGAAAATTCTTGAAACATTTGTTATTACATTAAACGCAAAAAGAGGGCAAAACCATAAAATGTTACGAGATCTTGATTTTGATTTTGTTGCGGTATGACTTAGTTTATAACAGATTGTTTCTTGATAACCATTAGACGCCAGGGCGTTATCATAAAAAGGTGCAGCTTTATCAAAAACGTCTTTGTTGGATGAAATATTGCTAATTCGTTTGGATAAGATTGCAGGTATAAATTTGATAATATTGAGAAAGTGGTTAGAATTAACGTTAATGTATAGTGGGTGGTCACCTATTTTTCTGTATGGTCGAAAAGAAC